TGAGTCTGAAAAGAAACAAATAGTTATTTTGGCTCTAGTATATGCACTACAATGATGGTTTACATATAGTCATATATTATATATTTATGTATCGATCCGACTAGAGCAAATTTTTAATGTAACTGTCCATGCGCATATGCTAAAGCAGCACATTTGCGTGGCGAACGTTACTGTCCCGTGTACACTTTGAAATAGCATGATATACAAATGTCTTATAGCAAATTTAATTATGCGCCTTGCTCGGATACAACTTTTGTCGTCATGCCAGATATAATGAGTTAAAAACTTGAGTGGAAACTAAAATCATGGTGTAATTTAATTAAAAGTATCTTTATATTCATGGTTGACCGAACATTCGACTTCGGCTTAATTCTATATGTAATTGTCAGAGTAGAGGCAAAGTATTGGATCCTCGCGTTTAGAATCAAATTCCTCACATAATGATCTAAAAGATGGCGATCTATCTTAAAAAAAGTCACCAACAAAAGGCTCTACAATAAAACTGTTGGGCTTTTTTGCATTAATATCAACCAATTCTTTAATTGTTAACTAAATTAATAAAAAATATAATTATATCTTAAGGCATGTCCAATTTAATCTAATATGCTAAACCAGATCCTTGAATGGTATTCAGGATAATTTGTAAATCAATTGTAGTGCGGCAATATCGAATACTTACTGATTATTTCCTAAACATCTTAAAGTACTTTAAGCTATGGTATACGGTATACTGTCAAAGCAAGATAATTAATATTGTCCGTGCAGGTTCACTATTTTCTTCTTCGATGGTGCCTTACGTTCTTTCCTGTAAAAAATTACCTTACTATTATGTTACATGTTCTCTTCAAGTGTTTTACCTCACTCTATAACTCATCCTTCAAATTCTGAGGCATACCAAAATGCGTCTGCTAGGCGCTCTGCAGTAACGATTCTAGCCAAATTGACTCGAATAAGGGTCTCAATAGTAGCCAGATGAGCCGATAGCCAGGTGTGTTCTGCCTCCGCCATTCCAGAAGAGATTAGACTCGATCCATCCCTTTCCGCTCCAAATTCTTCAGCTTCTTTTCTTTCTTTTCCAAGCCATCTCAGCATTTCCAATTCGTTACCTAGCTGCAGTTGCTTAAACGGCAAAAAGGATAGATCGTTCGAGCGAACAATGCGATGAGGGCTTGCTTCTATGCATTTTGTCCCATCGGACGAGAGCGAAAAAGTACTTGGTGGCTTGTGGTATTTGTAAGGGGAAAAAGACGATGCAGCTTCTTCAACAGGTAAGTAGACGGGCCCGCCGCCCGGCAAGTGTTCAAGTTCAAGCAGCAAACTATCCAGATCTGTTTGGTAGTGTAAAATGAGAAACAATTGTATATTAAAAATGAATAGAGATCTGCATTATTTTGGTCAATATGCTTGTTTACTAGCCACATGTGAGGGTCAAGCATCAGGTCTAAAAGACAGGAG